AAAGTACTGAGCTAGGCTGAAACACCTGCATTTTGGAGCTGCCTTACTCAAGAAAGCAAAAAAGACACCATGTTTGTATGCAGCTTTATTAACTCAAAGATTTGTTTTTTACATTGTTTGCAAACTGATATGTGACACGTATTAATGCCAAAATAACATGCAAAACAGGCAACCCCAAAAAAAAATATATATACACATAAAAATAAATCATTCATGTTTTTTTTTTGATCATTCATTATGTTTGTGGGGCTCAAAAACAGGTGGGTCTCTGCCCCACTTTCCCTGAATGACGGGTCGCCACTGCAAATAACAGAGGATATTGAGTGCCCTTTGCAGTCAAAGCCGCATATTTTTCTGAAAGGAAAGGACAACAGCTCAAGGGCATTGTATGAATCAACACCGTCTGTGACTAACCCAAGGTAAATCAGCACTCATACTCTAAGATGCTGGATACAAATGGCCCCAGGTTACATGCCAGCGTTACTTAGAAATGTTGTGGAGAAATTACCTCCCTTAATAACTAGAGAATTCTGACCTAATATTACCAACTGCAACATATATGAATAAAAGGCCATAATAGTATATACTAATATAAAATGTGTAGTTATACATACACCCATATACATACACACATATACATATACATATAAATATATACATACAGTGGGGAGAACAAGTATTTGATACACTGCCGATTTTGCAGGTTTTCCTACTTACAAAGCATGTAGAGGTCTGTAATTTTTATCATAGGTACACTTCAACTGTGAGAGACGGAATCTTAAACAAAAATCCAGAAAATCCCATTGTATGATTTTTAAGTAATTAATTTGCATTATATTGCATGACATAAGTATTTGATCACCTACCAACCAGTAAGAATTCCGGCTCTCACAGACCTGTTAGTTTTTCTTTAAGAAGCCCTCCTGTTCTCCACTCATTACCTGTATTAACTGCACCTGTTTTGAACTCGTTACCTGTATAAAAGACACCTGTCCACACACTCAATCAAATAGACTCCAACCTCTCCACAATGGCCAAGACCAGAGAGCTGTGTAAGGACATCAGGGATACAATTGTAGACCTGCACAAGGCTGGGATGGGCTACAGGACAATAGGCAAGCAGCTTGGTGAGAAGGCAACAACTGTTGGCGCAATTATTAGAAAATGGAAGAAGTTCAAGATGACGGTCAATCACCCTCGGTCTGGGGCTCCATGCAAGATCTCACCTCGTGGGGCATCAATGATCATGAGGAAGGTGAGGGATCAGCCCAGAACTACACGGCAGGACCTGGTCAATGACCTGAAGAGAGCTGGGACCACAGTCTCAAAGAAAACCATTAGTAACACACTACGCCGTCATGGATTAAAATCCTGCAGTGCACACAAGGTCCCCCCTGCTCAAGCCAGCGCATGTCCAGGCCCGTCTGAAGTTTGCCAATGACCATCTGGATGATCCAGAGGAGGAATGGGAGAAGGTCATGTGGTCTGATGAGACAAAAATAGAGCTTTTTGGTCTAAACTCCACTCGCCGTGTTTGGAGGAAGAAGAAGGATGAGTACAACCCCAAGAACACCATCCCAACCGTGAAGCATGGAGGTGGAAACATCATTCTTTGGGGATGCTTTTCTGCAAAGGGGACAGGACGACTGCACCGTATTGAGGGGAGGATGGATGGGGCCATGTATCGCGAGATCTTGGCCAACAACCTCCTTCCCTCAGTAAGAGCATTGAAGATGGGTCGTGGCTGGGTCTTCCAGCATGACAACGACCCGAAACACACAGCCAGGGCAACTAAGGAGTGGCTCCGTAAGAAGCATCTCAAGGTCCTGGAGTGGCCTAGCCAGTCTCCAGACCTGAACCCAATAGAAAATCTTTGGAGGGAGCTGAAAGTCCGTATTGCCCAGCGACAGCCCCGAAACCTGAAGGATCTGGAGAAGGTCTGTATGGAGGAGTGGGCCAAAATCCCTGCTGCAGTGTGTGCAAACCTGGTCAAGACCTACAGGAAACATATGATCTCTGTAATCTCCCCACTGTATATATATGTATGTATATATGTATGATGGTGTTATACTCAACATCTTCGAGTGTAAAACGAGACATCTTGAACTTCTTCCATTTTCTAATATTTGCGCCAACAGTTGTCTTCTCACCAAGCTGCTTGCCTATTGTCCTGTAGCCCATCCCAGCCTTGTGCAGGTCTCCACTTTTATCCCTGACGTCCTTACACAGCTCGCTGGTCTTGGCCATTGTGGAGAGGTTGGAGTCTGTTTGATTGACTGTGTGGACAGGTGTCTTTTATACAGGTAACGATTTCAAACAGGTGCAGTTAATACAGGTAATGAGTGGAGAACAGGAGGGCTTCTTAAAGAAAAACTAACAGGTCTGTGAGAGCCGGAATTCTTTACTGGTTGGTAGGTGATCAAATACTTATGTCATGCAATAAAATGTAAATTAATTACTTAAAAATCATACAATGTGATTTTCTGGATTTTTGTTTTAGATTCCGTCTCTCACAGTTGAAGTGTACCTATGATAAAATTACAGACCTCTACATGCTTTGTAAGTAAGAAAACCTGCAAAATCGGCAGTGTATCAAATACTTGTTCTCCCCACTGTATATATAGTGAGGAAAAAAAGTATTTGATCCCCTGCTGATTTTGTACGTTTGCCCACTGACAAAGAAATGATAAGTCTATAATTTTAATGGTAGGTTTATTTGAACAGTGAGAGACAGAATAACAAAAAAAAAATCCAGAAAAAACGCATGTCAAAAATGTTATGAATTGATTTGACCCCCTCTCAATCACAAAGATTTCTGGCTCCCAGGTGTCTTTTATACAGGTAACAAGCTGAGATTAGGAGCACACTCTTGAAGGGAGTGCTCCTAATCTCAGTTTGTTACCTGTATAAAAGACACCTGTCCACAGAAGCAATCAATCAATCAGATTCCAAACTCTCCACCATGGCCAAGACCAAAGAGCTATCCAAGGATGTCCGGGACAAGATTGTAGACCTACACAAGGCTGGAATGGGCTAAAAGACCATCGCCAAGCAGCTTGGTGAGAAGGTGACAACAGTTGGTGCGATTATTCGCAAATGGAAGAAAACACAAAAGAACTGTCAATCTCCCTCGGCCTGGGGCTCCATGCAAGATCTCACCTCGTGGAGTTCCAATGATCATGAGAACGGTGAGGAATCAGCCCAGAACTACACGGGAGGATCTTGTCAATGATCTCAAGGCAGCTGGGACCATAGTCACCAAGAAAACAATTGATAACACACTACGCCGTGAAGGACAGAAATCCTGCAGCGCCCGCAAGGTCCCCCTACTCAAGAAAGCACAAATACAGGCCCGTCTGAAGTTTGCCAATGAACATCTGAATGATTCAGAGGAGAACTGGGTGAAAGTGTTGTGGTCAGATGAGACCAAAAGCGAGCTCCATCAACTCAACTCGCCGTGTTTGGAGGAGGAGGAATGCTGCCTATGACCCCAAGAACACCATCCCCACTGTCAAACATGGAGGTGGAAACATTATGCTTTGGGGGTGTTTTTCTGCTAAGGGGACAGGACAACTTCACCGCATCAAAGGGACGATGGACGGGGCCATGTATCGTCAAATCTTGGGTGAGAACCTCCTTCCCTCAGCCAGGGCATTGAAAATGGGTTGTGGATGGGTATTCCTGTATGACAATTACCCAAAAAATACACAGCCAAGGCAACAAAGGAGTGGCTCAAGAAGAAGCACATTAAGGTCCTGGAGTGGCCTAGCCAGTCTCCAGACCTTAATCCCATAGAAAATCTGTGGAGGGAGCTGAAGGTTCCAGTTGCCAAACGTCAGCCTCGAAACCTTAATGACTTGGAGAATATCTGCAAAGAGGAGTGGGACAAAATCCATCCTGAGATGTGTGCAAACCTGGTGGCCAACTACAAGAAACGTCTGACCTCTGTGATTGCCAACAAGGGTTCTGCCACCAAGTACTAAGTCATGTTTTGCAGAGGGGTCAAATACTTATTTCCCTCATTAAAATGCAAATCAATTAATGACATTTTTGACATGCGTTTTTTCTGGATTTCTTTGTTGTTATTCTGTCTCTCACTGTTCAAATAAACCTACCATTAAAATTATAGACTGATCATGTCTTTGTCAGTGGGCAAACGTACAAAATCAGCAGGGGATCAAATACCTGTTTCCCTCACTGTGTATATATATATACAAAAACTACATGTAGCTTTTGTTTGAAATTCCTGATGGTGTTATACTCAACATCTTCGAGTGTAAAACGAGACAAATATTGAATAGAAAATATTATGTATAAGTATAAATTGTATATTCGTATAGAACTCAAGTTTCTGGACCTTTTATTAATTAATGTTGCAGTTTGTAAAAATAGGTCAGATTTTACCCTGCAAAGTCTCTATTTATCAAGGGAACAATTTCTCCACACAGCAACATTTGTAAGTAACATTTCCCCCAATCATCCCTAAATGTCATCCTTCATATTCGATTGAATGTAACAAACTTTCTATATCTCATCTCATAAGGCACACAATTTTATGTCATGGAAATTGACTAATATATTCCATGGCTTGGAAATTAAATGATAAGTCATTTTAGTAATTCTCCTGTACAGCATATTACTTTTACTGTAATTGCACTATTACCAATTTATCTTTATTAACAATATATTTAAATCAATTTACTTTTATCTTTTCAATATGGAACAATTTGGAAAATTCATCTGTGTATTCATAGATGATCTGGTTTGAACCAGTACACACACATGAAATAGAACAGGAAAAAAAATGATAACATGATTCACAAAGACAGTCAGAAACAGCTGAACTGTGTCATCTTCAGGCTGACCCCTCTAGACTGTGTTGTGGCTGCCATGTTTCTGTACCATCGCAATTCTTGTTGTGTTTGAACAGCTTGGTTGTCATTCTCTCTGTTTGGTTGTTTCTCGTGATGAAATGTCCTGTGTATGTTTTCTTTAAATCAGATGCTTTGATAAGACGCCTACTGCGTTTGAGTAATCAGCACTCCTACGCAAGAGGGGGACTCTTGGACTTTAGAGCGGATCACCCTAGTGGCAAACTGAGCAGCAAGGGTCAGCCTGCAGTCACATAATAGCACAAACATCAAATGATAGTCCAGTACTTCAGCCTACGCAGCCAATGGGTCTGCGTCTGGGGTGGACCTATCGTTCCCGAAGGACTATAAGATGTTTAGGAGGCCCAAGGAAAGATACCATCCGGTCTAAACTGTCCTGCAACTCAGGTGTGTGGTCCTCTCTCTTTCTCTGCCAAGGAACTCTGTAATGTTTGATGTGGTAAAATGTTTGGTTTTCTTGCAATATGTTGTTTAGTAGTAAGTGGGGTATCTGTAAAAATGTAATAACTGATGGGCATTCAATTGAAGAGGGACATTCCTTCCAAACCAGATTGTAAGATGCTCATTTAAACAGTTTTGCAATAAGCAGTAGTTTAGAGGGTGATCTTTAAAGTGCTTGATAGATGTTTAATTCCTGTGTTTTAAGAGGTAAACTGTCAATATGAATCAAGATTATTCTTCTCAGTGAATTCAGAAAGGCAAATAAAGATGGAAATCCATGTCTAATTCCATTCCAAATTTGCTCAGACAGGCAGAAGTTGCAATTTACTAGGGAGTCGTGGGTATGGGTATTTGACCAACTCCATTACTATTCAGCCAATTCATTATGATTTGAAATCTTCCTGAATTAACTGAGTTAAGTTTAACTGATCCCAAACCTGCCACTGAGTGCCGTTATTTGTTACGCCAAGAGAAAAACTTTGAAACCACAAAATGCTTTAGAGATGGCAATCCTACCATCCGGCAGTGGTGGGAAAAGTACTCAATTGTCATACTTGAGTAAAAGTAAAGATGCCTTAATAGAAAATTAGTAAAAGTACAACTTGTCAAAAATATAAATAGTTACATTATTTTTAGTTAGTTACTTTACACCACTGCCATCCGGTGCTCAAACCATGCCTCCACAGACCTATGGGGTCAAGCTAATCCTAGCACTTTCATCTCTCCTCAGGTGCCATACTCAGCAGCCATGAAGTTCTCCCTTGCCGCCCTAGTTGTCCTGCTCGCTCTGGCACATGGTAAGTGAAAATTCTTCATAACTGAAAGGAGCACTCTGTCGCTAGTTTCTCCCCTGTAGTAGCATTCAGAATTAATTACACAATCATGGCTGAAACAAAAACACACACAGTTTGATTTGTTTGTCTTCTTAATTGATTTTTCTCGTAGATTGCATTCTGTATGGAGATATGTGGTTCTATAACTGCATTTAACATATGTGCACTATACACTGAGTGTACAAAACATTAAGAACACCTGCTCTTTCCATCACATAGACTGAATATGTGAATCCAGGTGAAAGCTATGATCCCTTATTGATGTCACTTGTTAAATCCACTTCAAATCAGTGTAGATGAAGGGAAGGAGACAGGTTAAATAAGGATGTTTAAGCCTAGAGACAATTGAGACATGGATTGTGTATGTGTGCCATTCAGAGTGTGAAAATATTTAAGTCCATTTGAACAGGATATGGTAGTAGGTGCCAGGCGCACCGGTTTGTGTCAAGAACTGCAATACTGCTGGGTTTTCACGCTCAACAGTTTCCAGTGTGTATCAAGAATGGTCTACCACCCAAAGGACATCCTGCTAACTTGACACAACTGTGGGAAGCATTGGAGTCAACATGGGCCAGCATCCCTGTGGAATGCTTTCGACACTTTAATAGTCCATGGCCGATAAATTGAGGCTGTGTTGTTCCTAATGTTTGGTATACTCAGTGTATAATATAATATTAATGAGAGATATGCAACATATAGGAATGTTATATTGCAGAGTCGGTGGATATATTTATAACTCATGTATTTTAAATGACTGTATGTAGAGAGGGTCTTGTATGTGCTGTTGTATGCTATATGGGCATAAATGGTTTGTGTACAATGTGGGAATATGTTAATGAAGTTATCCTCTGGCTACCCATAGGAAGCCAAGCAGCACAGTCCCCCGAGGTTGAGAAGCTGGCACAGTACTTCCAGGATCTGTCAGCTCAGCTGACCTCCACCACTCAGGAGCTGATGCAGAAGATCCAGTCAGAGTGAGTGACATTTTTTAAACTATTAAATTATTTGATAAACCTATGAAGAACCAGCCCTCCCAACCCAGTCCTAATTATAAGAATTGTGAAGAAAAAAAACATAACTCATCCTCATTCTTTTACCTTATAATTTACAATAAAGAAACAGCAGCCACAACTACTGCTGAAGAATGGATGGTTCGCAACAATCATATACATTCCAACATTTGATGAAAAAAGGCTAATGACCTGCAAATGCTTTAACAGGCAATGTGTTTCGATCCTATTTTCAAATAATATTTTTGGCACTCCCTTTGTTTATATTCAGACCACTAATCACCCGCTCCCTTCCAAACAGGACATTCGTAGAGGATGGAAAGGCCCAGCTGCAGCAGATCCAGGCCCAGCTGGCACCCCTGGCCGATAACATGCAGACCCAGCTGAAGCCCCTGGCTGAGAACATGCAGGCCCAGCTTAAGCCTCTGGTCGACAACTTCCAGGCTCAGATGGAAGACCTCTTCCGCAAACTGATGGACCAGACCAAGTCCCTCGGCCAATAAAGCAGTTATGTTTCAACAACCTTACCACCTCGGACCGAATCAACAGCTCCATGGACTTACAATCAGCCAAAACCAATCCACCAAGAGTTGGAACCAGACAAGCTTTCAACCTTCTGTCTAAGTCTTCTGTGCCAAGACAAATGTTGTTGACATGCAAAGACAGACAGCAGTAATCCAGAACATTATTAAAACTTGGAAACTGCTCCTGTGGTCTCTATTGTAATTTGTCATCTATTAATTTTCACAGAAATGTGTTTCCAATCATACATCACTTCACATATTTGTTTGGTGTATGATTATTGAAATCTGTTTAATTTCTCAATTTAGGAATTATAGTTTCAATAATAACCCATTTTACTCCATCACAGGTCGTACACTACCAACCCATTCTCTCAATTAAAACATCAATACACTCCCCTCCGTATTTATTTGGACAGTGAAGCAAAAATGTGTACATTTGGCTCTACTCCAGCATTTTGGATTTTAGAACTAATGTTTCATATGAGGCGACAGTACAAAATGTCACCTTTTATCTGAGAGTATTTTCATACATATCGGTTTTACCTTTTAGAAATAAAAGCAGGGGAGAACCGGGTTGTGGCTACATGGTATACAGCTACAGATGGAAGTGACACCTACATTGCATAAATTGTCTTATTGTCTTTGTTTCGGGGAAATGTTTTGCATTTTAATTAAGCATAAACCTAAGCAGTGTCCTAACCTTTACCTAATTATTCTAACCTGCTACGTTAATTATCATAACCTGCTGTGTAATTTCTCCTAACCTTCTACGAAAAGTAAATTCTGTTCGTAGCTGTATACCATCTGGTCCTCACCACAAAACCATGACGAAAGTAACGCGGGCGGAAGTAACATACCCATTTACTCAAATAACACAAAAGCTAGAATGATGTAATGACACACGCACATGCCTAATGAGGAAGACAACCTCCCAGAAAAAAATCAGCACGCTTGCAACAACATTTCAACCAGTTATCAACAAAAGTTGTTTTGAGCGAGGGAAAGTTTTTTAAAAAACTGATCCGGAAGTGTTTTTTGGTTGTAGAGTTGTTTATTATTTTTTTACGGTTCAAGATATTGTTGTATCGGGTGAATGGTGGCAATTATTGCTGATAAACAAAGGAGTCCGCTCATACTGAACTTTGATCATAAGGTTTATTCATATCAAAAGCTTCAGCATAAGTGACAGATGACATGACATCCGGAGAGCGACGCCTCAGAATGGCCGCTCTGCCTTTCTTCTTCGTTTAGCCCCTACTTATAAACAATGCAAAAAGATGCTCCCTCTTCTGGCCAATCACCAGTCTCCCCTGTCTACAACACACTTCCTGTCTGTTGTATGTGGCGTTACACTAAAACATTCCCTCTTGATACTAAAATCAACATTCTTTCAGTTCCACTTAAAAACATTTAACAAAGGCATAATCCCAATACACGACATATCCCCCCTTCGAGACGAACAGTCTCGAAAACAAACAGAATAGGATTATGACAAGTAACAATTTATCTTATTGAGTATCTTTAACATTAAACCAAAAACATTCTCCTCTAGAGTGTATATACCTTTCTATGAAATATGAATAACTGTTTATGAAGTGTGAATACATTACTATGAAATATGAACAAATCTTTATGGAGTGTAAGAGTGAAAAACTGTCCGGCAGCCATCTTTTCAGATATCCATCCATCAATCAAGACAGTAAAATTCTCTCACGGTCCCTCTGCCCCAGGCACCCACCTAGATACTCCAAATAAACTCATAAACCATGTAAATGCATTTGAAACTATGATGCAATTAAATACACATGTAAGCCCCTGCAAACAAAATCCTATCCAAAAAATATCCACTCTAAGGCTGGTCAACCCATTGGACCCTATAGTGGACCTCTCCCTGCCTAGACTCCCTGTCCCTAAACATCACCGAAATAAACAAAAACATCTAAAATCCCCACATGTATTCAATAACATCAAACATAATTCTACAAAACTTAATACCTAAGAATATGACACAATTATGTATTATACATGTCTATATTTCATTGCAGACACTGGAATGTAGTCCACTACACTTCATCTCCCCGTAGTCTCCTCTTCCAATGGACTGTTGATGATGGAATCGGCCACACCCTCCTTGTTTCATCTCCTCCAGTCATATTGTCCCTTCATATTGTCCCTTCATATTGTCCTTGTTTGAGTATTTCAATCTCCACATGTCCCCCAAATGCTTCTGGAAGAAAAGGAAAGACCAAACAGTATCTTTTGCAAAACAACACCTTCAAATTAAACATCAATATCAACTAAGAATATAAAAATGATATATAAATGATGCATGAATCACATTAATGATAGAATAATGAACTAGGATAATTATTCATTCATACACTTCCCCCCTTTGATTCATAAAATCATACCAAAATCACCCTAATATTGAAAAAAAAAAATTGAAAAATGATCAAATAATCAAAAAGGATATTTATCTATTCAGTTCTACTTGTCCATCTTCCTCCAGATCAGGAACAGTCAACACCGGTATCTGAGTGTTGTCTCCAGGCATCACTCTCCAACCTATCTCAATATCATAGCTTTCTCAAAGGTCAGTAACAAATTACAAACATCACACACAAGTGCTATCAAAGCTGCAACTACACTCTGAACCATCACTGCCCCTACTGGCCTACCTGATCTTGCAACCAAGTCTTCGCTGACTTCCGCTCCTTCAGATATACCAAATGCATCCCTTATATTCTTTAATGCATATATAACCCTAGTGATAATATCTGAACTCAAAGTATACCTAATATTATCAATATGATCTTCCCAAATGTTACACCATACCATGGAAAAAGACCCCCCTTCTCCCTTAGATTTATCCTTCAATGATAGGCTTGAAGACTATGACATGTAGCCATGTCTCTTTTCATCCAATTTCAAACCTAGCTTCAGATTTCTGTGTCCGGTGCTACCCCTCTTTCAATGGTAAAACCTCATATGGAAGCTTCAACGTTGACATGTAACAACATCCTGTCCATCCATAGGGTAAGAATATATATGCTTTATCACCACAAACCCTCTAAATATCTTTAACATTCCCAATAGTCACATTGTCAGGCAAAAGCTAATCTTTTAACCCTCAAAGTCCTGCTCTTCTTACTACCTGGAACATAAAAAGTTACGTTATATTTGTCCTCTCTAACCTTATGTTCATGCTTATCCAAAGTCATCATATAATCATCACAATCTGATATTCCCATAAACATACCCCTTACCTCATATGTTTTATTAGAACAAAACAACTTTTAGCCCTCAATGGTTACACCTCAAATGCTTCAGGGTTTGCTGTTACCTGATTTTCTTTCCCATCTAACAAATGCACACAAGTTAATTCACTTAACCCAATACCACCTAACCCTAGGCTTAAACAAATGTTTTGACAACGACATTATTTTATCTGTTACTGATTGTTGTTGCTGATACAACAGTCATGACAAAGCATAAGATTGACACATACTTGATAGAGGTCGAGCGACCGTCTCTAACATGTTTGGTGCTGGAATTCTCACCAGACATGGACCCTCAAGATTCCTCACTGATCTTACAGAATGAGCTGCTGGAACCTGCCCATCTATCTCTAATTTTCACAACAGAAGAATCAAACCACTCCCTTTAGTTTCTCTCTTCCCTAACGAGCGGTACTGATCAGATACCTCTCCTTGTCTGTCATTAAAATCAAAGACCTCATCCTGTACCTCCATGATGAATCTATATTCTCTCTACTACTATCTGTTCTCCTATTTTAACCCTATTCGTACTATCATTGACAGCACTCTCCATCCGTAACATAAACCCCTGAGTCTCTCTTGCTACCTCCTTTAATTTCAGAAAAGTTGTTGTCGGTGTCATACTTCCTACATTTGGTATTGCCATCGTATCATTAATCCCTTCCAAAGTTACCATTAAAGTAGTTGATTTAGTTGATGTATCAACCTTAATTACTTCTAGTGCGAAAGTTACCAATATCCTATGTGCATTATTTACTGTTGGAGTGACTACTGTAACATATTCTTCCTGAACTCCTTTGGTGACTGTGAAACTTCAACAGATTTCAAATCTTCCATCATAAGCGTTACTTTATGAATTACATAGCCTTTTAACCAATAATTCTTAACCGGAACAAATTCTAATGCTTGCCCTAGATAAGTACACATATTTCTCCCTGATCTTTCTCTGTAACATTACGCCAAATAAGTGAACAGTCACTCATAACCCTCTTCCACTTCATATCGTTGTACAAACTATATCTCCTTTGATTAGGTGCAACAGCTTGCTTCTACTTCTGGTCCTGATAACAATACTTCTTCTCCATAATTATCTCTCCATGTGGGAGGAACGTCCCCATCCTAACCCTAATAAGTATTTTTCCCCTAAAATTGGTGCTGGAGCTATTGGTTCCCTTATAATCAAATGCGATATATTTATGGCTTTAATAACTATCAATGTTGAAAGAGTTAAATTGCTTCTCACTGTTGTTTTAATAGACTGAGGTGTTAATGTCCTTGTTTCCCCAAAGCGTTGAACTCTTTACTTGTACTTCCATCTATCACCACTAGTGTCACTTTTTCCCAACTCTCAGTCCTATCTCTAATCCCTGACTTTCAAACTTTTGATTATAAAAATACACCTATAATTACCTTGATCTTCCTACTCTAAAGTGTCCTTCACCATTGTTCTCTCTCTTACTACTAACTTTGAAACTTAGCTTACTGTCTTAGAGTTCCTTCAACCTAGTTCTCCTAACTTATTTTAATCTAATATTTTCTCCTAACCTTTAAAAACCTTTTCCCACTGATTTATTCACAAAATCCCTTTACCACCAAATTTTTAGAATATGTGATTGGGAAAGTCCCCACCTGCTTCTGACTTCTTTACACACAGACTTGGCAAACGACTAAACACCTTTTAGCCTAGCCTGAAATCTCTTGGTGTAAGAATGTAACCCAGAATAACAGTCACCCCTTTTAACTTTATTTTCCAGACAGATTGTCTAATAGGCAGTCTAATAGATTATCATCCTTCCTATGACATTATCTTTTTAAGCAAATATGATTCCCAAAAACCCTATTCTTTTAACATCTTCTACCAGACAGCCGTTTAGTGTACATCCTATTGTACAGTTCAATTTAAACAATGCATCTTTTCCCAACAATGCAATAGGTATATGTTATAATATTAGTATGTCTATTTTAATTTCTCTTTGATTTTTATAGCATAGCTCAATTGATTCTCTAAGAGTAATTAACTGTTTTATTACCTCAAATCCCTATCCTAATTAGTTAATTTTACATAGTGAAATGTTTAACCTCTTTAGGCTGAACACAGATACGTTTTTCCACTATTCACTATCACTTCTCATAGTCCTGTTTTTACTTCAATTGTTGGATATTTTCTTCCTAATTGGTGCTACCAGCTGACACCCCCCTTCGTATCTTCTAGGCACTCTAGAAT